AGTGGAAAAGTGCAAACCATCAGTCCTTAAGATTGGCTTTGATAAACAAATTGCATGCAGTTTGAACACAGCCTGTATTGCACCTTAATACCTTTTCAGATTGTTGAAACTAATTGTTGCATGTGTTGTTGTGTTTTTACTGTATGCATGTCAGTTGTGATGTTTTGTATGATAATGTCTTGTTGTGTATCTTTGATGTTCACAGTAACTTTTTTTCTCTTTTTTTTTTTATAGGGATGAACTTTGAAAGGATGATCTGGCAATACTCATTGCACCATATGCTCGCATACACACACGCGCGCACACACACACACACACATCCAAATGGACTTCACTGAGGAGAGCTTGTATAAATGCTCTATTTCCATACCTGTGACAGTCTGATGGTTGTGAAAGACCGATGTATTGATCAGATTCTTTTATTTAAAAAGGAAAAAAGTGGAATAGGGCTTTGTGCTGAGATTTTCATGCCTGCAGTTTGAGAATTGTGTGAATGCAGTTTTTTTGGGCGGGGGGTTGATGCGCAGGTGCATTTTTCTTGTGATGACTTCAGTATTAGTCAATTGGATTGTTCATGCATCTCAGCGTAATGTAAACAGAACACGGGGGTCGGCCTTTGTGCTGAATCCACCCTGTGATTAAATCATAATTCACTGCTACGTAATGTGTAGGGATGTCTTTGCTCAACAAATCCGTTAATAGTAATGGCTTGTGTTTTCAGCTGAAGCATGCGATGCCCAGGCAGAATAAACTACTTTACATTTGATAATTCATCATAGGATTCTAAAGTACCACAGTAAGCCACAAGAGGCCATGTGTTATAAAGCAATAAGCCCCAAGAAGCCGTGGTTTACAGTGAATTTATAACAGCTAAGGGGCGTTGTTAGAAACCCCCTTAGCTGTTATAAATTCACTGTAAACCACGGCTTCACGGGGCTTATTGCTTTTATAAAACGGCTATTCCATATACGTAGTTAGGTTTCACTAAATAAAACAGCAAATAAAGTGTAATGATATTAATAAAAACAGTATTCTTCCACCAAACAATGTAGCTCCTCAGAATCAGTTGTGGTTGCAATAAAGTGGTGGCCGAGCAACACACAGAAGTAAACAAAGGTGTGTGTTTGTAGAGTAATTTACAACAGCGTCGAACGCGGCTCAACCAATCAGAACCAAGGACCGGAACTATCCGTTTTATAACAATGATTTTACCACGGTTGTGGGATGTTCTTTGGTTGATGCAGAGCAAACCTCTTTAACTGTCATAAAATCAGTACAACACAGAGTTTCAAATGGCTCAGTGTTGGATAATGTACAGTCAGCTGGTCATTATAGCAAAATGTACTCCCAACACTAACAGAACACAGAACTGTTATTCCTGGATGCTTGCCAACCAAATAAATGGACATGAATTATTGAAAAGTTGAAAGTATTTTAATACGTGAGAAGACTGCAGCATGATATAATAATTTTTTTATATGGGACAGAGGTGATTTTTTTTTCTTTTTAGCGTCGTTACAAAAATATGTACAAACCACAGAATGCTGCCATTAATCAAAATCAGGTATTCCAGAGAACAGAGTCTAATCATTGCTTTTAGAGCGGCAGCGACGGCAATATGATAAAAGACTCCAATGTTCAATAAATGACTACCTTTATTAATATGAATAATTATAACAATGTAATAATTAAAAAAAGATTCTCCTGGCAAGTAATACAGTCCATTAGCTATAACTTTAGGCTGTTTACAGTTTCCAAGCAATGCAGCAACATTAAAGTAGACTGATGGCCACAGGTGTGTGTTTATAGGTGTTTTACAACGGGTATTTTACAAAGCGTATCTAACTATAGTTTACACGTTGTATAAATTGAAATTTTAGAGCTGAACTCCAGAATACTAAAATAGATTTGTCATGATTTACTCATGTTGTTCCAACCCCATATTATTTGCTTTGTTCTGTGAAACACATGATGAAATTTGATGTTTTATATTGTCAACACGTTTCAACTAAGTTTGTGTTAAATTCAAATCGTCGCCTTTAGATTTGACGTTGTGGACCCCAATCAACGCTGGTTCTCGTGTTCTTGGCGAGTATGACAAACGTGAGATTTGAGAACTGCTGTGGAAGGGAAGATTAAATCTTCAGACTTGGATTAGACCGAGCGCACGAGTTGTATGAATGGACTACTTTTATGGTACTTTTGTGTCCTTTGCGCTTGACAGCAAAAATCATCATCCACTTTATATGGAAAACAGAATCTTGAACATTTTGCTTATTTCACAGAAGAAAGAAAATCATACAGGTTTGGAATGATGTGAGCAGAGTTGGGTCACACGTTTAGAGCACAAGTTCAGCAATACTACTGCTCACTATGAAATGTGTTTCACATCACTGCACTGCTCAAAATAAGCTTGTCTATATTATCTAATGTGCAGCAAGTAAAGTCCCTCTCGCATCCACACTTGCATACACAGCGTTGAGCTAAACCTTCAATGGCCATTTTGATTGTAAGCGGTTTTCAATGCCAATTCTCTGCATGTTTGTGTGTTTCCTGCACGCACAAACGTGGCTTTTGACAAATAAACTCACTGCTAAGCAATGATCTGTTCAGTCGCTTGTCTCTTCTTTCACACAATCGCACAGTCTGAACTGTAGAGAGATTTTTCTCTACAGAAAATCTACTTTTTAAAAATGTCCTAAATGATTCATTGGCTCTTCACTGAATTACACATTATACATACAAGAATTTAATATCACAGTAAGCCATTAAACCACATTGAAAACCCTAACTAGATATTTTCAGATTTGTTTTTATGCCATATGTTTTGTTTTGTTGTAAAGAGGAGAAAACAACTATATTTTTGTTGGCTTCAAGAGGTTGTGTACAATCAGACAATATTGTAGTGTGAATTCTCTAGGTAGAAGCTAGTCGGATCACATGCCAATCAATGTTCATCATCAAAAACCATGAACAATAAACATTCTACACAAAGAGAAACATTACTATTAAGATTAAACTTTTTGTTACTTTGTGTGATAATTCTGGTAATGTGCCGGATCGCCCTTTCATTTCTACTGTACTGTAAGATCCAGAAACAAAATTCAAATGAAAATCTACTTTTTAAAAATGTCCTAAATGATTCATTGGCTCTTCCCTGAATTTAGCTAGCTCATCACTAGACCATGCTGAACAAAATGTATTACAAGATTTTTGATAGACCATTCTCATGTAATGATTCATTCAATTTGATGCCAAGCACACCAAAAGTGGAAAAGTGGACGTGAGGCTTTATCTCTGCAAGGCTTTAACCAACTGAAACAAAACTGAGCAAGTACGAACCATCACACTCAGTGTACCTGGACAGCTGTGGCACGGTGCCGTCTACTGGTCAAGAAATATAAAAAATGGCTTATAGACATTGCAGCCTTCTTCAGTTCAAAAACACCAGAGGAGATGCAGTGGTCAGAGTGGAGTGGCTGTGCTCTGACCGCTCTCTGATCCCAGTAGCCCCTCACTGCAGAACACAAGATCTAGGGGGTGGAGATGGGTGGGTTTAGGGCTCGGGGTGGAGACGGGTAGGTTTAGGTATATGTAAGGTGGGAGGAGTTGGATCTGGATCCAACCACGCCCCCTGGATCTTGTGTTCTCCTCTGATCTAGGGTGTGACCTGAGCAGAGTGTTTGCCATTGTCATGCTGTTTGTTGCTTCATACCATGATAAGCTGATTTTGTTATATCATAAAATGTTTTAAAGAGTTTGAAATTTTGCCTTTTCATGCACCTTTGTTTGTGCACAATTAAGTATGCATGCAACATTCATAAAACACTCTGGAAACTCATATAGTTGGTCCACATTTAATGGATTTCCCCCCCCAAGATAATTCAATTGGATAGTTTTACAATCATTATATTATATGGTTTCAAAACATTTTTGCACAATTACACATTATACATACAAGAATTTAATATCACAGTAAGCCATTAAACCACATTGAAAACCCTAACTAGATATTTTCAGATTTGTTTTTATGCCATATGTTTTGTTTTGTTTTGTTTTTAAATCAAGGAATTTTTAATTGTAAAATCGCAATCTAGAACTTTTAAGACAGCTCCAATAATTACAGTAACTAAAGCTGTATTCCCTGGACTGAAATGATTAATTCTCATATTAAAATTAAAGTTATATAAGGATACAGAAACATAATGGTTTAAATGTTTATCCTATTAAAGCTGAGCACATTTTTCAGAAATTGTCCCAAATTAAAAAAGATAAATGCTCTCATTTAAGGTCAAATTCTCAGGTCAAAAAATATCAGGCAAGCTTGTAGTGTATCATGCTTCTTTAAAAAAATAAAGCTGAATTCAAAATCGCCCACTTGAACAACAAGTATATACACTGAAGTGTGCATTAAGCCAGTATTTGGACAGATTATCAAATCATACAACTGCATCTTTATACCACAGGAACCTCTGTTGCAGTCAAACACATCTGCATATTTGCTACCAAAATCACAAAATAAATTTATCAGAAATAGTGTGCCATTCACATGTTTGAAATTATATTTTCCAAATACCATGATTTGAGATATAAATTTAAACCTAAGGTTTAGATTTAAGCCTAATTTGGCATACTATATTGGAGAGATAGATGTGTCATTTTGCACTCAAGGGGATATCAATCAAGGTCAATGCAATTTATTGCCCCTTTATGCCACAACTACACTCTTAAAAATAAAGGTGCTTCAAAAGGTTCTTCAAGCGATGCCATAGAAGAACCATTTTTGGTTCCACAAGGAACCATTCAGTCAAAGGTTCTTTAAAAAAACATCTCTTTCTTACCTTTTTATAATCTGAAGAACCTTCTTTCGCCCCAAAAGAACCTTTTGTGAAACAGAAGGGTTCTTCAGATGTTAAAGGTTCTTTATGGAACCATTTAGAAGAAAAATTTTCTTCTATGGCATCGTGAAGCTCCTTTATTTTTAAGAGTGTAGACTAAGTTGTAACTTACATACAGCTGGTGCAACCGGCCCCAGGAGCAGGGTTGGCTAGCCATGCATTAGATTTTTTGACAACTTATGTGTCCTCTACACACACAGTAACACAAATGGTGCAGCAGATTGGAGGGTTGATTGGCAGGTGGCTGTTGTGCTACAGATACATGCCATTGATGAGGTAATCAGACTCTTCTGTGGTGAGAGGCAAAGCTTTCTTCAGTCTGCGACGTACAAGCCAGAGCCTGCAGCCCACCATCAGTAAGAGCAGAACGCTGATGATCAGACCCAAAGCCAGGGGTAAGATCGCACCTACACACATTCACAGAGTGACACTTGAAGTACTTGAGAAAACACACACAGACACAAAAGTACAAAGACATTTGTTTAGTGCTGTATGTTTTGGTACTCATTAGGGCAATAAAACAGACCTGATTCAGGGGGTGGGTGTCCTTCCAGTACATGATGTATTTTAGATGATAGCAGTGAACTCTGAGACTCCGTGAGAGGATTTTGCAGTTTTTCGTTATGGACAAACGCAATGGGAGCTGCAGAAAAAATGTATATTACATGCTGCAGCCATTTCATTTGATCAGTTAACACAAGGACATTAAATGTCATAGTCCATGGCGATGTTTCACTTTAGACATCTCCGGATGCCAATTTGGTAGACATCGCCCAACCCTATGCCATTCACATGTCTGAAACATTATTTTCCAGATACCATGATTTGAGATTCACTAAACCTAATTTGGCATACTATATAAGAGATGTAGTTGTGTTATTTTGCACTCAAGGGGATATTAATGGCAAGAACACTTACCATCAATCAATAGATCAGTAATAGTCAACCCTGCTCTTGGAGATCTACAGTACCTTCCTACAGAGGTAAATTTTCAAGTAATTCTGAGCACCTTGGTTAGACTCTTTAATGTCCTTGTATTCTGCTTTAAAGAGCTCAAGCATTTAAAGTGACAATATACCCCTTACGAAAAATAAGTTTATTCAATTGTGCTATTAGTATATTTCTTTTAAACTAAAAAAATAGGAAAGTATACTTTCAGTCTAATTGTATGTACTTCTCAGACATGGGCTTTATGTACTTCTCAGAAATATACTTAAAATGACATTTAAGCATACTTGACTTATAGCCTACTTAGAAAAAGTCTAAATATATTTGAGCTATACTTGTGTTCCTAGAATCCGTGTTTTCATTGTTATACTGTAGGGGGCGCTAGTACATTTTCTGTACAGAATTTCCAAAAAACACAAGTGAAGAAAAAACCGAAACAACAGATGCTTCCACATGTAATCTAACACGATCATCAGACATAAAACAGCATCAAAACTGTGTAAAGCTGATGTAATGTCGACCAATGAAGAGGTAATAATGACCGTCAAGCTTTGGGGTGTTGATCGACTTTACCTACGTTTTGATTATCGTTCTGAATCCAATTCAGTCTTTTTTTCAGCTTTATGTTCAAAATGTTGTTTATTTCTTTTTCTTTTTTTTATTCTTTATGAAACTTACCCACATTCAAGTGTTTAAAAAAAGAATGCATGAAGCTAGAATAAAATGTTTTTGTTTACAAGCAGATACCCTGTTCTTTCTTTTGATGTTTTGTATGTTCAGATATTCATTTAACAAAATATATACAAATTAATACCTAAATAGGGACATAGTAGTATACTTAATGTATGATGTAAAGTTCATTTACGAGTATACTTGCAGTATAAAACTACTAAACTAGTAGTTTACTAAGACTATACTTCAAAGTGTACTAAAAATGCTACTACAAGTATTTAATTAGAAAACTATCAGTATTCATATAAGTTCACTTTTAGTATAGTTGCAGTACAAGCTAAAAATATTGTTGTAAACTAGTTGTGTACTTAAAGTTTACTACTGTTACACTTAAAGTATACTTAAAAGTATACATTTATATACTAGAAAGTGGGCCAATTTAGTCCCAAGGAGTATTGAAATAGTACACTTACAAGTATAATACTAGTACACTGATATTTGTATACTTGCTACATAAAGTATACTTAAAAATATTCTTGAACTTTACTTATGTATACTTAATAAAATAAACTTGAAGTATACTACTTTTTGGTAATGGACGTGCAGAGTGCACTTACAATAAACAGAACATTATTGTGTGTTAGTGTGGACACTAATATAATTATATTTATAGTTATCGTTTTTGGTTTGAACAGGGCTTAACTCACTTACGTCACACAACAGACAATGGGGCATGAAACACAAATGCATTATAATATATATATATATATATATATATATGCACTGTATACACACACATTTTTTTATTTTATATTTTTCAAATGGTAATAACAGCATAGTTATTGTGTCCAAATCTGTCCAAATCTGTTCCTGGAAGACCACTGTCCTGCAGAGTTTAGCTCCAACCCTGATTAAAATTATTGTGTGTTAGTGTGGACACTAATATAATTATATTTATAGTTATCGTTTTTGGTTTGAACAGGGCTTAACTCACTTACGTCACACAACAGACAATGGGGCATGAAACACAAATGCATTATAATATATATATATATATATATATATATGCACTGTATACACACACATTTTTTTATTTTATTTTTTTTCAAATGGTAATAACAGCATAGTTATTGTGTCCAAATCTGTCCAAATCTGTTCCTGGAAGACCACTGTCCTGCAGAGTTTAGCTCCAACCCTGATTAAACACACCTGAACCAGCTAATCAAGGCCTTCAGACTCACTGGCTGCGTCCAAAACCTAAAAAAATGCTGCCTTCAGAGGATGCATTCCAAGGTAGGAAGGCATCAAGGCACATCCGAATCCAATGTCAACTTCACTTCCTGTCTCTTGAGATCCCTTCATCTGGCTGATTTTTGAAGGCAGCATAGACGTATCCTTCGCTGCCTTTGATATCCTACAATCCAGTGCATTCATTCTGTGATGGATAAGTTAAAAAATAAAGATGGCGTCTGAAAGTTGTGGTCAGTGGTCAGTTTGTGTGTAAATATACATTTTTGACCAACGTTTTCCACTTTTGATCTAATTTCTAGCGAGTAATTACTGTTGCAGTTATTAAATATTCACTTGGTTATCAAAAAAAATCTCTCTGTATTTTGCTGTAGATCATTAAACTGTTACGTTGCCTCAGAAGTCTGTCCAAAATCAGTTTTGTGAGATTCCATTTCGTTCACAAAGGCTGCCTGCAAAGTCAATGCCTGATAGGGCAGCGAGGCAACAAGTCAGATGCCTAATTTTTCGAACGCAGCCACTAGAAACTTCCAGGCAAGTGTATTGGAGCTGGTTGGAGCTAAACTCTGCAGGACATTGGCCCTCCAAGAGCAGGACTGGACACCCCTGGTATAGAGAAAACTGAATATTCTATCCTTTACTCAAAACTAATACTGTTGTACATACATGTGTATGTTTTCACACTGGTTAACGGAGTTGCAGTGGCCTGATGTTTTGTTACTGCTGAAAGATGACAACAGAATAACTGTTAGCTTCACAGAATTCTCAACTGAATAAATTCAATTTCATTGAATATAATCAAAAATCAGCTAAATCAATCAAGTCTCACTTGGTTTCTGAATGCATTCATTTACACAATCAGACTTCTGGAGGAAGTTGTTGTGGTTTCCTTTGCAGCCGCCATACTGGAAGTGCTGGCAATCTCCTGTTTTAGAATCATAATACCAGCGTGGGAAGATGCCTTTACACGGGCCAACCACTGGGAACGCTGCACAGGGATCTGAGAGAGAGAGAGAGAGAGAGATTTGCTCTCAGAGTATCAAATGTCTAGACAGAGAGAGGCTTTGTTATAAAAATTGTTGGAAATGAATGGAAGCAGCAGAGAAATTCTGTGCTGATGTGAACTCATGATTAAAGCAACATCTGCAATGCTTTTGAGCAGTCGGTATGCTGTCTTCAATAGTGACTTTCTTTAAAAAATGTAAAGGAACAACGTGCCAGTGAGTGAATAATGACAAAATTATTCTTTGTATGAGGTATCTTATTTCTTACCTTGGGAAATGAAGCCATAATGTTGATGTTCTTCAGGTTTAGGGAAATCATTGAGCTGTATTTCTGTGGGTGCCTGGGCATCTGCTTCAGTTTGTACATCTGGTCCATGTTTAGAGGGGGGGTTGGACTTATGACCACTATCAACTATAACACAGACCCAAAACTTTTGATTTATCTTTAAATAATTAAGATACTGAAAAGGCTTTTGAGAAGATGGTAGAAGAGTGGTTGGTGGTCTAGGCTTACAATTTTGGCAAAAATCTTCATCTGATCGGTCAGGGCAGTGTTGCTTTCCATCGCAGGCATAACCAATGTCTATACAGCAGCCATCATCACACATGAACTGATACCGAGAACAGTGACCTGTACACACTTTAGAGAAACAAGACACACATTTGTTTCACATCCATAAAGATTCAGGTTGAAGTTTACAGTTTATTTAATCCCCAAAGGACAATTAAAATGGTCAGGAAGTAGTCTGCACGTAACAGAAAATACAACTAACAATACATTAAAAAACTCAAGACAATAAAAACACATGACATGACACAAAGTGCAGCAGAGGGAAGAGAACAGTGTTAAAGATAATGAATAAACAAATACGATTACATTTGAATTGAAATTATATACGATAATAATTTATGTACATATACATGCAAAAAGTGAGTCAGAGTGGATTACTAATTGACAGGCCAACTAATGCATTTCCTTATATTTTTACATAACTGATTTCAGCTGCCTCCTCAGACGGAGATCATTATTACAGCTACATCTTCCAGATTTAAGAAAGGTTTCTTTCCAACAGCTATAAGACTGCACAATAAACATATTAATCTTCAGACACACCTTGTTGTTATGATCCCAGCCTGTGTTCCCCTGTCTTGGTCTTGTGTTGGACTCTAACTTTGAAGTGTATTTTTGTTCCAATTGCTTCCTGTGCCCTGTTCCTGTTTCTCTGTCTCCCTGTCTGTCACCATAGCAATCCTTGTTAATCGCCATAGCTACTAATCACCATCACCTGTACCTCATCAACCCTTGTTTACTTGTGTATATATACCCCTGTGTTTCAGTTGTTGGTCATTGCTCCTGGCTGTGTGTTCTTGTTCCTGATTGCGCTGTGTGGATTTACTCCCGTTTCAGGTCTGAATTTGTCAATTAAACTGTGCTTGCATGTGGATTTTCAAACAGATGCCATTAATACAGGTAACGAGTGGAGGACAGAGGAGGCTCTTAAAGAAGAAGTTACAGGTCTGTGAGGGCCAGAAATCTTGCTTGTTTGTAGGTGACCAAATACTTATTTTACCGAGGAATTTACCAATTAATTCTTTAAAAATCCTACAATGTGATTTTCTGGATTTTTTTTTCTCATTTTGTCTCTCATAGTTGAGGTATACCTATGATGAAAATTACAGGCCTCTCTCATCTTTTTAAGTGGGAGAACTTGCACAATTGGTGGCTGACTAAATACTTTTTTGCCCCACTGTATAGATCAGTGAATTTGCCATTATGATGTCATCTAGTGACATTTAGCTACCAGTTACCATATTTCTATTCACATCATTACAGGGTTGCCGACTCTCACGCATTTGGCATGAGACATGCTTTCAGGCTTTTCATGCTTTCTGTCTCATGCTCTCTACGCTGCCCAAGTAAATCTCATGGCAATCAAAAAACGGTCAAGTGCTTTGCAGACCGAATCTCGGTGTATTTTGATGTCATACACCATTCGGTCTGTGCAGTACTGCATTAGAAGACCTGCTGCAACCTCTTGATTGGACCAGTCTGTACCAATCACATTTTCCCTACAACAAGCAAGGTCACTCTATGTAAGCTGCTGACCCCACCTCTTGAGATCAGGGGAGTGAGGTTTACCTGCATGGCACCTACCAGCTGGCCTCCATTACACTCACCCCCTAAACCTCACTCCCACCTGGGTCACGGCACCAATGTAACCCCCCCGGGGTCCTACTCGCACCCACTCCAAGCGGGACTCAAACCCGGGTTGCCGGCATGGGAGGTGGGCACACTAACAAGAACGCTAAAGACCTCCATTACACAAGTTCAAAACTAAATTTAGGAGAAAATAATATAGATTTCATGGGGCCCTAAATTAAAAAGTAGCTCTGTGCTTTTAAATTGTGAACAAACAAATTCTCTTTAAATTCATTCTCAAGGCCTAACAAACATGTGGAAAGCATTTCCTTCCCCATTAATGGTAAATTAATATTGTGAAAAATATCGATATTATATGATAAGGAAAAAAATATTGTGATAATATTGTTTACCAGTAGGGATGTAATGATTAACCTTGAGCCGGTTGAAAATCGATTAAAATATGTGACGATTCAAATCGGTCGAGATGCTAAACAAATCGCGATTCAATTAGGTGTAGGAGTTTATATGAATGTATGTCTGGGGGGAACTTACTGTCTTTAGAAAAGTATTTAGATGGTATTTTTTCTTTTCATCTTGCCTCTGTATAAAGCATATTAAAGTTCATAAGTGCAGCGCTGCTTTGTTTACAGCGGAAACCAATGAAACGCTTTAAGCGCCACCTGCTGGCAGAGAGTGCATCTGCGTCTCGTTCAGCTCGTCTGCTGTTTCGGTTTCATGCAGATATTTTTTTATGCATAGTTTCACAAAACTGAAGTCAAACCATTCTGTTTTTGTTTCAGATTTTGAAATGATACAATGTAATTTAAATTAAAAACCGCTCAAGTTGCATGCAGCATCTTTGTTTGGATCCTCTAATTTTAAATGGAAAGAGCACAGACAAAGCCTGAGTTTGTTTATATGAGGAGATTTATTTTATTTGTGTTACTTATTTATTTGATTTGGGGCTTGTTTTAAATTTTCAATTTAGTTTTGTTATTTACATTATATTTAAATGTTGTCATTTAGCAGATGATTTTATCCAAAGCAACTTATAAATGAGGACAATAGAAGCAATCAAAACCAACAAAAGAGCAATACTATACAAGTGCTATATTAGTATATTATTATAGTGTTATATTTCAATTTCACAAAGAAACATGTAGCATTTTGTCCAAGCAATAATAAAAGGACACATTTAAATTTATAATTTGTCTTAAATCTCAATTTGTAAAAAATAAATAAATTGTGAATCGAATCGTATGGAAGTTCTAAGCGGCCATGCATTATTTTTTTTTCCCCTTCTTGTTTTCTCTTATAACGACTTATTTTCTCGTTATATCGACATAACGAGAGTTGTTTTCTCGTTATAACGACTTAATTTTCTCGTTATATCGACATAACGAGATTTGTTTTCTCGTTATAACGACTTAAATTTTCTCGTGATCTCGACATAAAAAAAGTTGTTCGCTAAGTTACAAAACTGCGCCAACAGGTGGCACTATTGACCTGAATATAACTGATGGGGTGTTGTAGGCTATACTGTATGTCCACTTTACTGTACGCATTTGGGATAGAATAGGACATACCTCGTGATCGCTATAATTTGTACAGTATTGTTCATTAGGCTACTGACATTTAATTCATTCATAAATGTTAAATGCTTGAATCAATATGACTATTTTGTGTATTAAGTTCTTGCTAGATGCATGAGTTTCACCAACGCGTTCTGT